GAACAGAGCATGGATGTAAATAAATAAAATATTACTGTAAATATTTTGACTCATTTCAGTCAAGAGAACGTGAGTAAAGTTAAAATTCTGTGCTAAAATGGTGGATGCCTGCGCGCACGCAATTTCATACGTGAATTTTTTGGTGCGTACGCATCTTTCCCGCTTCGTGCGTACGCCACGTTTCAGTGTGAATTCTACACAATGCTTTGGCAAACGAGGTCCTAGGTCTTCTCCTCTGTCAGCTGATCCACACATGCTGCACGTGAGTCATGATCAGAGTCTGGAAGCAGATTAGCACTGAAACTGGTACAAAGAGGAAGGACGCTGACTTTCAATCCGGAGGCGTGGCATCGAACCTGACTTCGGACAACATGAGGTTTGCTTGCGTGCGTGTGTGTAAAAGAAACAAACAACAAAACAAAAAAAAACGCGCTCCAACAATAAAAACTTCAAACGCTGCGTTCACGAAACTCGTTTGTTCGTTCGATTCCTCCTGCGTGTTTCCGAATTTCCACGATTTCCAACAAGGAGGAACCAGAATTGGTATGTATTTCAAAGTGAGCCATGGGGTACAGCTAGCTGGACGGGCATTTTGGCCGCTTTTTCTGCGATGGTTTTCTATCGCTCATTTGTACATCACTTCAATAACTTAACTTCAATAATTTAGTTTTTTCTCTCTTACTCTCAGAGGTCACATTTGATTTATTATAGTTTATTGTATTTTATTAAATTATCATAACTTAAATGCACAGTATGTAACTTCTGCCGCTAGGGGTCTCTCAATCAAAACAAGCGTTCGATGACATCATGAAATAGCGTGGGATCATGGGAGTTTTTGTCTTTATTATGCCATTACCAAAAGCGTGTTCTGGTTTGAAGACCTGGTTATTATTACCATTAAAAACACTGAATAAAGCAGTTTCACATTTAAAGCCAGTGTTTCACAGACGCTGTACGGAGGATGAAGATGTCAGGGAAGGGTTGGGAGCTGAGATTGCTGCTAACCTTTGTTTTGATTGTTTCTCTGATAACTTATGAACCAGACGTTCAGGAGGTTTTTACCAGCAGCAGAATTTTCCGCAGGTTTTCCTCCTCTCCATAACGAACAGACCGGGGGATCAAAACTGGCAGAAACACTCATAAAGCAGTTTCACTTTAAAAATGAGTAATTCGTTGCGTCCCGGTGGCTCGGCTGCTCACCTGGTAGAGTGCATACCACAAAGGCTACCCACAGTGGCCGGGGTTCCAGTCCGACCTGGAGCCGGCATGTCATCCCCTCTCTCTCTCTCCCTGCCTTTCCTTTCTCTCTCTGTAGCGATCTGAATTCACTGAAGCTTGTTGGCAGACACATGACGTCTAGCAGTAGCTGGAAACTGAGACTGCTTACCTTTGATCCTTTAATAAATTATGGACCAGATGTTCAACAGGTTTTTCCCGGTAGCCGAATTATCCGCATAGGGCCATCCTCTCAATAACAAACAGACCAGGCGCTTAAAACCCTTAAATGAATAAAGCAGTTTCACTTTTTAAAAAAAACTGATTCACTGATGCTATTTGGTGGAAACAGGGCAGGACTTCTCCAGCTGCTAGGAGACCAAATGACACTAAAATTACATATTTCTTTCGGTTTGCGGATTACTGGAAACATTTGGGAAAATGTAAGTACACAACTAAAAAACAAATATAGGCCTAGTCATTTTTAGACATTTTACTGTGTAAAAGTTACATATTATAACTAAATATATTATTTAGGGCTGAAGGGTGTATCTGCCCAGGGCACCATACAAGCTAGAACCGCCACTGACACTGTTTGGCTAATGAGTTGAACTATATAAGACCCCAGTGAGCCAGGAATGTACCTCTGTAAGGTGACTGCTTTATCACTGTGAAAACAAGAAGAATAATTTATAAATTAAATTTATAAATTGACAATGACAACTTTTGATGCTGATGTCCCTTAATTACCTGCCTCTACCTCCAAACTTTACATAATGATTCATAGCTTGATGTTTTTTTTGTAACACAAAGAGAAAGGTGAGTTTGTATATGCTGTCTACATACATAAATACCTGCTGGGTGGAATTTTTTCCTCTAGAAGCCTTTCTCTTTTTGTAAACACAGAGTATGACTGGTATGAGAGGCAGCGTCATGTGAGCCATGCACTAAATGTTATCGGCTTTCTTAAAGTGACTGCTGATTGATGAATGGTATCAGTGACTGTGACATACTGAAATTCTTTCTCTGCCAGCTTTGGTGTAGCTTCCTGAATCCACCCTGTGCCAAAACTTGTTATTTCCTCTCTGATAATAACTACTTTAGCATTACTTGTTTGAAGTGTTTCCAAGGTATGCTAAGTCCATAAGTACCAATAAATTATCTGATGATGACAAATATGATTTTTGAAAGTAGGCTACCATGTTGTAAAGTATTATAATACTTGGCTAATGTTCCTTTGTTAAAGATAAAGATTGAATGAATACAGCTAAAATAATTTCTGGCAGAATACTTAAGGCAAAATGAATGATTGCTTTCCATTTTGGTCCTCTCTGTTTACATATTAGATCAATGTAATGTCCTTAACTCCTCTATAGACTATTATTAAGTCAAAAAATGCTTCGCTGAACGCTGGAAAAAAAAAAAGTTTTCTTCAAACAGGGTGAAAAATCTACCAGTAGGGTGTGATGCAGTCAAACTTGTTAACACGTTTTTAATACATACAAATAAAATATTCACTCTTGTTTGGAAAAGTTGACAAAGACACAGAATAATGTTCCAAAACTAATTCAACCACGTTGTTATGATGATGGTCACAACTGCGTCTATTCTCAGATATGTGCAGTAGGATGCTGTTTTTACACTGACTGACTCATGGGATATGTTTATGATGATGATGATGATAATGATGGTGGTGATGATGATGGTGGTGGTGGTGATGATGACAGCGCCTCTCTCTCTCTCTCTCTCTCTCCTCCCTCAGCAATGGCAGGTTGCGTCAACACGCTCCTCCTCTCCATATTGCCGCTGTATACGCTTCCCAGCCACATTACAGGAGCGCGGACAGGTAACCGCAATGTCGCACTTCTCTTCTGCTGTGGATCAACACTCACTGGGGGGGGGGGGGGTTCTGGCATTTAGAATAGAAACTGTACGGCTGAGGGTAGGCTGTGAGTATTGGGTGGGTGGGGGGGCGTTCAGCTGCAAGGCTGTAGCGGGATGTGAGAGCTGGGCTTCCCTCCTGCTCGCTCCCAGACTTCATGACATTATCTTTATAAATAATATGCTGCGAGTGTTTAAATAAGTAACCTCAGTTGTTTGTCTCTTGGAGAGAAGTACCGGTGTGTATCTGCTCAGTTGTGTGTCTGTCGGCGCCTCGCTGTTAATCGCAGGGTGTTTTTGGTTCGTCTTGCTAGCGGGGCTGCTGATGCTTGGAGGCTTGGACGTACAGCATCACGCTCTACCGCTATAATCAATACGCCAATCAATCAATGTGACGCTATAGGAAGCAGCAGCTGTTATAATAGACTGTACATGAGGACTCAAACCCACCTACTCTTGAGCATTTCGTGTGTGTGTGTGTATGTGTGTGTGTGTGTGTGTGTGAGAGAGAGAGAGAGAGAGACTGACTTGTGGTTTTGCTGGGAGACATGCAATGACTAATGCTTGGATAGGGGCCCACAAAGATTGGCTGGTGGATTTGTATGATGTTGCACTGTACTATTGTTTAGAGGCCTGGTGAATAACTGTGGGTGGTTCAGATCCTCCCTTAATTAGTTGATTGGCAGAAATCTGCAACTATTTTGATAACGGATTTGTTGTCTCTGTCATTTTTCAATCAAAAAGATGCCATACAGCTCCTGCGATCATCTGCTGCTTTTCATAGGCATATGATTGCAAACTGAAAATCTTTGGGTTCTGGATTAATGGTTGGATAAAACGAGGAATTTAAAGGCGCCACCTTGGACTGTGGGAAATGGAAATGTCATTTTTCCCTATTTTTTGATATTGTGGACCAACAATGAATCAATCAAGAAAATAACCTTTGGATTACTCAATAATGAAAGTATCCTGGAGAAGTTAATTTAGATCAATATGAAGTGTGAACATGCAAGATGCTGCTTTGTTTCGTCTGTGTGTCTTTTAATTTCTTATCTTGGGCATCTCAGCTGCTGTTTGGCATAAATATGAATAAGGCATCAATGTTTCAACAGCACAGGTCCGCTAAGGAGTCCAGCAAACACTCACATGGAACACTGTTCTCCTCCTCTCCTCCTCAGGATGGAGGCCCTGTTAAATGAGTGGCTATGGCAGGAGAAGTACTGGCTTCCTCCTGGTATCCGCTGGCAGGACATTGAGATGAAGGAGGAAGACGGCCGCTTTCCTCTACCCAGGGATCTCATCTACACCTTGCCACTGGCCGTCGCCTTTATAGCCCTCAGATATGTCTTTGAGAGGTGAGACACAGCTGCCTCCCATCACAGCTGGACCACAACACCACACATGCAAGATTTTCTCTTGTTTTCATTAACTTTGACTTCAACTGTGGTTGACTCACTGGAGCAGTAAGTTGTGAATGTTTATGGTAGGCCTACATGCATGAACTGAAATGTTGCAGCAGTGTCAGGGGAACAGTCAAGCACGATGATGGTGTTTGTATCTGTTGCCGCAGGTGAAAGCAAGCATGTTTAAAACGCTGTGTCTCATTTCCTATAATTTCCCCTTGACTTGCTGTGGTCATGCCATCTGACTGACGAGCTGGTAAGCTGCTTGTGTGGCTCAGAATAATGGCTCATCTACCTTTCATTAGTGGCGGGGTGGGGGGGGGGGGGGGGGGGTGGGCATCAGACATGCAGTGGAAGGCAGGCATCATGAGTAGGAAGTTTAAGCTGCTGACAGTGTGGAAGCCCTTTCTCCTCCCAGAGGAACTGGATTGGACTATAAAAAATGTGATGAGTGTGTGTGTTTGAGGAAACAGAGGATGATAATAACTGTGATATGGCAATGATGGCAGTGGTTTCCTTATAGCTGACGTAAGCCTAGGGAAGGTTAAGTCGAACTTTCTAATATTGGATGGTTACTGGTGCTGTGTTGAATCATTGTACTAATTGCTGGAAAAACAACCAGCCTCTGAACCCTGTTATAGAGGTATACCAACCACTGGGTGTTCATGAGGAAAAAAGGCAAATGGGAAAACTAATGTAAATCCCCAGGAGTGCTTATTATATCCTGCTGCTGAAGCATCTAGAGACTTTGCAGAAAAGGTCAAAACACTTCTGCGGTGACGGCAAGAGGGACTTGAATCTTATCTGAGATCGTGACAATGGGCATACCTGGAAGGTGTGTTTGGTTTTCGAATATTTGGCAACTGCTCTGAAGCATCTTTTGTTGCACTTAACGCCATTCAAGGGTATGTACATTAAGGTTGCAGTTAATTAATTAGTTGATCCACAGAAAATTCTTCTTGAACTATTTATAATTCAATTCATGATCATGAAAATTTGACACTTTCTCATGTCTCAGTGTAAGAATTTGCTGCTTTTCTTGCTCTTACATTATGGTAAATTGAATATGATTGAGATTTGGACGTGTGGTCGAGCAGAGCAAAACATTTCATGAAGTCACCTCTGGTTGTAGAATATTCTGAGAGGCATTTTTCAAAAATAATTGCTAGTTGCAACCCCGATTTAAATTACAGGTTAAAATACTGCCATTAGAATAGTAAGGTGATGCACATATCCAGAATTAGTTCATATGAACGAGCCCTTAAAGGTTCACTGTCCAAGCCAAGTGATGTTTCCATGTATGTGGTCATTTGTTTACAGAGCATTTTCTGGGCACAACTTTACCACTATTCTGCAATAGTAATATTTGATAATAAATTAAATCTATTGAACCACCAATATTATGAATATCTCACTGACCTTAATTTACTTATATCATGACATTTAAGAACATTTCAGAATCACATGAAATTGTAAGCAATTGGGACAAATGAGTCCGAAATTAGACGCCAGGACTGATGTATTAAAAACATGTTATCATTACACTTATGTACATTTAAGGTAAATTTACCGTGTTTTAAATAATATCATCGAGCCATATGATGTTACATGTGGGAAAGGATTACTGTGACATTTCTATAGTCGTTTAGAGTATTCTCCTGTTTCCCCATGAATACAATCAATAGTTTGAAACAAATGCTTTCCCAACTCTCTGTTAATAGCATTGAGGTTTTGTTTAGGCTCAGAAGTGCGTGACTGTAAGCTGATACCTAAAAACAACACCGCTGTCAAGAGCAACTTCACAGTCAGCTTGACTGTACACTTATCTAGTTTTGCTGGTAACAGGACAGGAATCTGGAATGACGAAGACGGGATGCATAGACACACGATGGATGGACAGATAGGCTTGTTTTTGCATGCTTTCCCTTATCGGCTACTGTATTATCTGCCCTAATGATGAACTGTGCGAGCTTGCTTGGCACAGGCTGTGTTTGTACCTTCGTTAGGTATTCATTAGTTAGAGTATTAGAGAAGTAACATTAGCTGTATTAGTAGCATTCAGGGGTGAGTGGACATCAGCATGCGCCTGTGTGTGTTGCAGAGGTGGGCATCTATGTGTTGTGTTTGTTAGTTGTGGCGGTGGACAGTGGAGCCGTGAGGTGGTGTTTCTTACATCTGAGGAGCCGTCAGTCAGCTGGAAGGTGAAAAGGTGTGTCTTCATTTGATCGTCCCAGGCCACAGCTGTTTGCCTGTGTTGTGGTCGGGGTGTGCGAGGGTGTTTTGTGTGTGTTCTGGTTATAGAGTTCCTGTAACCAGAGACTGTGTGTCTCTGTGTAAAGCTGCCCTGACCTTCTCATTCTCTCTGATCTCTACCTCCCTGCCCACTTCAGCATGATTATCTCTGAGATAGAGTTACACACGTGAATATGCACTTGCACACACACACACACACTTATCAAAACATCTCACCTGTGCTTCTGCACTCACGTTGTCTTCTCTGATGCTCTATCTGTCTCCCATCTCTCTGAAAGACACACACATGCAGATCAAATGTTTCTTGATGTCATATCAGTTCATGGCATAGGCTGTCTGACCAAATATCACAATACGCCCATGGGAGTGGCTCTACATGCTGTCAGGAGCAGTATAATGAGCTGTTTTGTTGCCGTTACTCTGTACTGTACCGTGGTGGGATCCCATTGGACAGCTGTTGATGTCACCTCACTAGTTCCTCCGGGATTATAATCCAGTTTGTTGAACAATCAAGACTGTAGATGACGTAGAAAATACATTTTAGTGTTTCTTTTCTCTCCTGTCCTCTGTCCTCTCAGGCTCATCGCCGTCCCATTCAGCAAACAGTTAGGTGTGAAGGATCGGATTCGGATTCGAGCTGCTTCCATCCCGAAGCTGGAGGCCTTCTACAAACAGAACAGCCGGCAACCGTCACACGTTTGTATTTCTTTCTGCCTTCCCAAATTTTTTGCAGATGACAAAAAAATCTCTTTTGTCTCAAACCAAACCAAATCCTATTTTGCCCCCCTGCACTTGCAATTACAACTTTTCACACTCCGCAATAAGCTTTATAAGCAGGAGAAAGTACTGTTTGGATTTTTTGTCCTCTTTCCACTTGCCGGAGCTGTATGCCAGCCTGCAGTCGTAACTCAGGGCGTACTTACTGTTATAGACCAATTACTTTGGCCGATAATATTCTCATAAAAAAGTTGCTAGAATTGAGCATAAAGCAAAGATGAAACAATAAATTGCTGTTTTTAGTAGCAATGCAAATGTATTAATTCATTCATTTATTGGTTTGTTTAAAAGGGACACTGCACCTTAATAATCATTGCTGTTAACACGTTAGAGTTAGCCAAAAGGCTAGTTCTCATCTGTAGTTTTCTGGTCATTCTAAAAGCAAAAAAGATTAAAAGGAGCAAAAGTCACTGAAATCATTTAGCATAGATTCATAGTAAAAAGAGAGGAGAATGCGAATGTTAATTTAAAAAACATCATACACTATTATAAATTACCATTATTTACTACATCAATATAAATGTAGTTTTACTTGATCCTTGATGTCACAACCCCCCCCCCCCCCCCCACACACACACACACACACACACACACACACACTTCTGAATCCAAACCTACTACAGATGTTACAACTAGAAGTGCTCACCATGAGCTTCTCTCTGATAATGCCTAGTTTGTTTGTCCTAATGCAAACATATAGAAGTTTGCATACATTTGGTAGGCAAACAGCAGAGAGTGGAAAAGGTGGATGTGATAATGCGTGGGTATAACTAACACAGTTTCATCTGTGTTTTTTTTTTTTGTTAGTAATATCAGTGCGTCTCTGTGGATGTCAAGTGAAAAGTGAGTGTGATTCTCAAGGTTGAGTTGTTTATTAACTTGGAACAAGGAACTGTTTTTTAAAAGCAAAAAAACAGGAAATCCCCCCATGAGATTTTAAGTACTTCACCTGAGTCAGACTGAGGCGGATTGTTTTGTGTGTTACAAAGGTACAATAATTATATATTATGTAGGACATTTAAATGTGCTTTAGGTGTGTTCACATTACAGAGTGAAGAAATTATATTTCTTTTATATGCTCAACCATCTGAATGCTCATGGTTACCATTAGTTACCATTATCACCTCTTACTGTCATCATCATTAGAAATGCTACATCAGAAAATAGCAGATAATTACAATTGTTCCTTTGTGCAGAGAGTTGTGTTCCTTTCCTTTAATCAGTGAACAGGTGTGCACAAGTAACAGGGAAGTTTAGGTTCACGTGACGATTCTCCACCTTTCAATTTGTTTGGTTTCACATTGCGACACTGATGTTCCTGTGAGAACAAGCAGAGCTGTGCACCTGTCATGACAAGACATGACGTGTGTGTGTGTGTGTGTGTGTGTGTGTGTGTGTGTGTGTGTGTGTGTGTGTGTGTGTGTGTGTGTGTGTGTGTGTGTGTGTGTGTGTGTGTGTGTGTGTGTGAGAGAGAGAGAGAGTGTGTGTTTCTGTGTATGTGCGTGCATGTATGTTCAAGTACCCTGACTTATTTACATATCTTCTGTTTCCATGTGGCCTAGACTTCCAGCGGCACCTGTGTGATGCTTTTGGTGTTTGCCATGTAAATGCCACAGAAACATGAGCGAGTAAACAAAGTAGTATGAGTTTTATTTGTAAGCTGCAGGCGCCTGCACAGCACTGTCACGAGAAAATATTGCACCCCCAGTATTGTTGCCCCCCCTAATTTCATCCTTTAATACAAAACAGGGATTGTGCTACACATAGACAGCCAAATGCAAATGTGTGTGTGTTGTTGTGTCGTCCTGGCTCAGAATAACACACTCTTGTATTTAAGTCTCACTTTTTCATCAGTAACAGAAGCCCTTGTTAAGTATCAGGGTGCAGAAAGAGAGAGCAGGGAACATCAGACCAACAGTCATCATGTTACAGGCTCATCAGCACAGAACAAATGGTTGGATTAAACACATTTAATACTGTTGGAGTCATCCCCATTAACGGGTACAATATACAAGTTGTATGATCTACATTCTCCTGTTAGTAACACAACGGTCAGGGAGATCAGTAAAGTGCTCAGGCCAGTAATATATCACATCAGATAGTGAGATGACAACGTGCTGTATTAGAATACAAGTAAGGAAGCAATATTAACTTAATACATTAAAGAAGTGCAAAGTTAAGTGTAACCCTGAATGTGTGCACCCATACAATGTGTGTAAATCTGTCTCTGTGCTTCGTGTGTGTTCAGGCTGAGGTGGTGAGCTTGGGGAAGCAGTGCGGACTCTCTCAGAGAAAAATCCAGACGTGGTTCAGACACAGAAGGAACCAGGACCGACCCAGCAATACCAAAAAGTTCTGCGAGGCCTCGTGAGTTTTTTTAATTTTATTTCCTTAACGCACTTAAACGAATTAAAGCTGCAGTATGGAGCTGTAGCAGAGCAGAGCCCACCCCACCATTCAAACTAGATTTGCTCTCAACTAAACAGCAGCAACTGAGTGATTTGTGCCTGTTTACTTTGTTTACTGATCTGATTTCCTGTTACAGGATTTCTCTTCTCAGGTTTGTCATCAGTGCGCAAATTGCCTGCTGCAGATTTTATGTCCTCGGGTGCTTTTTTAAAAATGTATTTAACGTCTTTTTGTCTATTTTGTCTAGTTTGTCTACTTGTTCTTGATCATTTTAACCATACCCTCTAACAAATGATGTGTTTATTCTTATCTGTGCAGTTGGCGGTTTGCCTTCTACCTTGTAGCGTTCACAGCAGGGTTTGGCTCATTAATTAATGTAAGTCTGTTGGCCACTTGCTTTTCATATTACAGATAACAATGTCCTTATACTGAATTACACTTGCAAGCAAATAATACAATGTTTATGAATAGAAATGGACGGATGCTGGATTTATTATTTGGTGTGAGTGTAGTGGATTTATTGTGATACATACATGTAAATATTTTATAGTCCTAAGTGGTACATTGTGTATTACCCTCTGTTTGTTTACATGGGGTTTAAATAATATCCAGGATACAACTTGTTTCATGAGTTATTGTTTCCTCTGTATTCCAGACTCCATGGTTGTGGGATCACAGAGAGTGTTGGAGGGGATATCCCAAACAGGTGAGCAGGTGTTTTTTTGATTTATATAAATTTCAGAAATGTCAGTAAGTTAGAGCTCATGTTATTTTGATGTGGCATTTGTCTACAAAGGAATTGTATTGCATAGTTATACAAAATAGAGATTAAAAAATAGAAGATTAATTGTTGGACAGAAAATTAGTGATAACAGTTTTCATAACTGATCAATTGATCAAGCTAAAATGTCAAACATCCAGTTGATCCGGCTTCTCAAATATGAGACTTTGTTTGTTTTCTTTGTCAAACAAAACAAGAAATTTGAAAATACACCTTGGACTCTGGAACTTTTTTGAAAATTTATTAGACTGAATCATTAAACAGTGAATTGAAAAACACAAGGATCAACCTTGTCTCAAGCGCAACATGGACATACAATAATAAAAAGTGAGTGGGAAAAACAATAGCTGGGAGTGAACCAACAAAAAGTCTGTACAAAGATTTGGCCACAGCAGACTTTGGATTTATAACACAGACTGGTCAGCACACTCCACCCACCCACTAACTTTCATCTCCATTCCTTCACTTCCTTTACAGTCAGCCTGAATGCTTTTTTCTTTCCAGATTTTTTCTTTTTTTTTTTTTACCCTGAGTAAGAAAAGCTAATATCTCTGTGCTGATGACAGTTGCCTGCAGGTCGGCATTCCTCCGGGGGGAGCCAGCCCTTCCTCGTGGGGTCATGACCACGAACAGAGAAAACAGTAGAAAAAATGCACAGCCACACATCTCTCTATCTGCAGTTTGACTGATTGCAGCCCCTGCAGGCAATACTGCCGCTGACCTTTTTGCCTCTTCGGAGGTCTTGTCGTCTTTGACAGAGAGAAAGGATGTGTTTTTCAGGGTTAAATGCCTCAGTCAACTTCCTTCCATTGTGTTACTGCAGACTTTGAGTGCTGTGTGTTCTGCGAGAAGTGTTTTGACTTAAGATAGCACACCACCACTTTTCTTTGATTAAAAAACACTTCCTGTTTTAGAGATCAGGGTCACACATTTGTTCATATGTGCTCTATAGGGGAATGTGAGGGAAGTTCTTATATGACCATGCAGAGCTTTGGGAACACTGAACACTTGCTCAACTTCAGCGCCACTGCACATGCAGGAGGGGGCAAAGTCAGTCTGCGATATCAGCTCATTCTACTCTTTCAGCTTTTGAACAACATATAGTTGATCAAACATGCGTTGTTTTCTGAGCAGTTTCACAAAATGTATGGCGAGTGTTCTGCTTCAGAAAAGCTTCAAAACACAGCTAGAGTGTGTTTTCCTGAGGCTGCACAGAGAAGCAGGGTGATGGAGATGCTTCCACATAGCACTGTATGTCACTTTTCACTAATTGTGTCTCTCTTCTTCTCTCTCTTTTTTTTTTTTTTTTTTTTTTAAGCCCGTGGCTGAGGCTCATTACTGGTATTACATCCTGGAAATGGGTTTCTATTTGTCGCTGCTCATGTGCGTCTCTGTGGATGTCAAGCGAAAAGTGAGTGTGATTTTCAAGGTTGAGTTGTTTGTTAACTCAGAACAAGGAACTGTAAGGAACAAAAAAACAGGAAATTCCCCCATGAGATTTTAAGTACTTCACCTGAGTCAGACTGAGACGAATTGTTTTGTGTGTTACAAAGGTACAATGATTATATATTACATAGAACATTTAAATGTGTGTTAGGTGTGTTCACATTACAGTGTGAGGAAATTATATTTCCTTTATATGCTCAACCATCTGAATGCTCATGGTTACCATTAGTTACCATTATCGCCTCTTACTGTCATCATCATTAGAAATGCTTAGAAAAGTTCAACTCTGCATCAGAAAATAGCAGATAATTATGTACCGTAATATGTACCGTCCCACACACACACACACACACACACACCTAAAACCTCAGAGTAACAAGATGCTGCTTTTCAGATGGTTTCCTCTGCATTTCCTCTTATTTTGTGCCTGAGATCTGAACTTTCAGTCAAATGGTCAAAAGCTAAATGTCATCACTCACACTCTAAGTCTTGTGTTTTCCACAGTGAAATCCAACCCTTGTTTTTCTCTTGTGTGATTATACTTAATGCGGATTAAGCACTGGATTATCTGCTATTACATCATAACTTTGTGTACTTCACATTTGCTCTTGTTTTAAAACTGAATTTGGCAGGATTTAAAATCTTTCATAAGACACTTGGCACATACTGTGACATAAACTGAAATGAAAACTTGATATAAGAACTTGATTTACTCCAGACCTATCAAAAGGAACTCGACAAATGTTTAAATCTTTGCTAAACTACTCTTTGCTGTATTGCTAAACTGTATTTTTGTGCATAAATTTTTAGAATTGATCACTGTAGTTCAGCAGGAAACCATTTGAAATGTCTGCTCCTGCTGCTGCTTCAGCTTTTTCAGGCAGTTTCTTTAAGCTTGTACGAAAAAATAAGGTGGTTTCGTGTGATTCCCAAGAGGCTTCAAAGCTGCTGATCAGAAATATTTGAGGTTCAGACACAGAAACACATTACTGCAGACAACATGTAAATCTGCCTTTCCAATACACAACTGGGCACAACTGATGAACAAGACCACAGAGGGAGAGCTGCTGACGTCAAGGTTAGGCTTTTGTACGTTCTCCTCATGCTGTGTGGTCTGCGTGTGTGTGTGTGTGTGTGTGTTTTCATGTGTGTGTGTGTGTGTGTGTGTGTGTGTGTTTTCATGTGTGTGTGTTCCAGGATTTCAAGGAGCAGGTAATTCATCACATTGCCACCATTTTCCTCGTTGGTTTCTCCTACTGTGCCAACTATGTGAGAGTTGGAACTCTGGTGATGCTGGTGCATGACTCCTCTGACTTCCTTCTCGAGGTAAAACACCACACCTGATCATGTACTTTTAGACTTAGAACAAGAAAATACATCATTAAAATATGTTGAAAGTTGAATTAACTGTCTAGTCATGCTCAGTGCTTTGACCTTCCAAAAACCATTACACGAAGGGGAACTTGACTTGAATACAGCCATTGTGTTAACACAGAGTTAACTACTTATACCCCTGTGTCTGGTATGAACTGCACTGTACACGGAAAAGCATTATGGCCTATGGTAAAGACAAAAAATACCCTTTGTAAAATAGTTCTTGCCTGTGAGACAATGAGTCCATTGTCATTATATTTTCCCAGGTGTCACATTTCACTGATAACATCTGAAAATCAAGATTGTCAGCAGGAAATATTTAGAGCGAGTCACGTGACCTCAGGCGTGACTGGGTGTCGTCTGGCGTCTGATAAATCATAAAGAGACAATAATGAGGACGTCATACTCAGCCAGTAGCTCCGCACAGCCAGGTGTAGGTTTCTGAGAAGAGTGCTATTTACCGTCTACGATAATCACAGTGTGGCCTTTGAAAGTCTATTCTAAACTCAACTGCCTCAATTCATTCACCTATGTCCAGGCATTGATTTTATATTTGTTATCACATGCAAATGATGAGCATCTAATTGTGGAGAAAAAGCTTTGAATTTCCTTTTGTAGCTTTTTGTTGCTACTAGAATTTCATACCTCAGGTTAGACAACACCGTTTAAAGTATGTTTTCCTTGTTCCATTGCTTGAATTTTTCAATTAAACATTTGGTAGTGGAGCGAATGCCATTAATATTGCATAGTTTACCACAAATCAAGATTGGTTGCATTATCAGGGTGGGTAGTGTTAGCAGATAGGAAGACTTTCCTGCAGCTAAAAGGTTGTCTGTGTAACCGTCCACTGGATTCTGACACGTTTTCTTTGAACAAAACAATGAAACTTTTTTAAGAGTGTTTGTTCACGTTTTTGTGCATTTACTAATAACTAACAAGGACTGTATTTCTTTTTCTTACAAAAGTCTGCTAAGATGTTTCACTATGCCGGCTGGACGAGGACGTGTGACTCGCTGTTTGTCGTCTTTGCTCTCATCTTCCTTGTAACAAGGCTGGTGGTGTTTCCTGGCAGGTAAGACATTATATCAGCATTTCGCAGATATATTCGTGTCGGTGTACATGTTACCTGAAAAGTGACAAAATATTAGAGTGCAGGAATGTCAAACTATGTTTGAGGTAATTTAACCATTACACAGTTTGTCCACCAGAGAGCACAGACGATGTTGATTTGTCTACAGTAAAATATTCACCCCAGGGGTCAAAGTTAGAAGGAATGTTAAGATGTTTGTTTATGCTATGTGTTTATGTTTAAAAAATGATGATCAACTGATGTATTGTTATTTTTTAAACTCTAAATATTCACATCTGTATCAGCCTCAAACCTAATTTTGGATTTGCATTTCTGTTACCAGATGTCAGAATGTTTTTAGAAACATGTCACATCACATGTTACCTCAAACTGCCAAACAATCTCAAACTGTTTATGCAGTGATCAATTGGTTTGGAAATCTGTATCCTAGCAATAATTCAGCAAGTCAAAATTCACTCAGTGTTTTGTATTGTTAATGTTTTGAAAGTTGTTTTTGTAGCCCCTGCAGTCTGTACTCATGTTTTGTTAGACTTGTCAAGGATCTGCTCCGTTGGTCTCGAGCATCTAATTGTGTCTCATGTTTTCACATCTTTGCTCCTTACTCTCTCTGTCTCACACCAACTTCACATCACTGGTTTCTTAGCTCAGACCAGAAGGTTCACAGATCCTGGCAAAGAGTTGATTTTGTCATTTAAGAAACAGAACTTGCTCTTAACTTTTCAAGGGATCAAAGCCGTCAAGTACCACGAGCCTGGGTCAAAACTGACTGTGTATTATTGTGTTTGTTTTACAGAGTCATCCACACAACGCTGGTGGTGTCTCTCGAATTCTTCCAGCCCTTCTTTGGTTATTATTTCTTCAATGCCCTGCTGCTAATTCTGCAAGCCCTGCACGTCTTCTGGGCATATCTCATCCTGCGTATGGTCTACAAGTTTGTGTTCTTGGGCAAGGTAAGAGGAGTACATTGTTAAACCAGCAAATTATGGGGCCCAAGATCACAAAATTGTTCATCCTGTTTTCATTTTTTCTCCGTAGGTTGAGCGTGATGAACGCAGTGATGAGGAGAGTGAGGTGGATGATGAAGAGGAGGAGGAGGAACCGGAGGAAGAAGGGGACGAATGCAGCTGGGAGCAAAGGAAGGGTGCAATTAACTCCAAATTGGCATCGCTGGCTAACAACTGTGTCCTGAACAACCTGACCAACCAGAGGAATATAAACAGCAGACTGCCCAAAGCCAGATAGTGGAGGAGCCCCCTTCCTCGTCTACCAAGCCTCACTGGAAAAATATGGAGATGATCTTATTTCTGACATACGATAACTTCATGCGGCTTGTGAACATCCAGCATGGTCCATTGATGATTTCACATCAGGGTAGGTCTGCATCCTGCTGATCTTCAAAAAAGAGGGCGAAGAAGCACAGATGATTGTAAATCTGCACACCCAGTGTGAGATTAGGAAGAAACGCCATCATTACTGTCACCCATACCACTGCATATTGTAAAAAAATTCATTGGCAAGGAGACATTAAAAATCTCCTTACATCTAATAACAATTATATGTTTTATTTGTATTTATGCTGTTTGTTTTCATTGTATTATATTAGCTTGTTTGTATGTACCTATGGATAGAAACTGTGCTACAATTCATTTATCCTTTCTTTGGTCACCAAGAGAAACTAAATGTTTTTATACAGGATCAAGCTGTTACCTAATATGTGTTATAATATGTTTCAAACAGAGGAAACTAAAGCTAGAATGAGGTAGTTATTCACTCCCCCAGCTTTGTATCCACATACACAGTATGGCTGATTGTACAGAGACTATGAAAAACATTGATTGTAGTAAATCTGTTGACAAACCACTTTATAGACTATTTTTATGAACCATTTACTCAACAGGTAATTTTTACATTGTTTTAATCTGTGGCAGAAATGCATAAAAGTTCATTAGGAACTATGAAAAAATTATATTTTTCTGTGATAGGATTTGATTTAGTCAGTTCAGTTCAGTTCTTAGAAGAGATGTGGTGCCCCCTGGTGCACAGAGAAGAACGTAGCCTTGTAGTGAAGACTGATAAAATTATGCCTTTAGAGAAAAAAATGTACTGCTCCTAGAAATATGGGCTTGAATCAGATGTGTATGTGTGTGTATGTGTGTGTGTCTGTGTGTGTCTGTGTGTGTCTGTGTGTGTATGTGTTTCATTTTCTACTTTAAACATTATGACAGGCAGCATGATTTCTCAACGAGGTTTTTGTTAAAGTTTGCTCTACTGTACTTTGTTTTGTGCCTTGGCTGCTGTTTTTAAACCAATCTGTGACAAGCACTTGATATTAAGCTCTGTGTGTTAGTAGGATTACCTTTACTGGACAAACACATTGACCAGGCCTTACTGTGACTTGTTTTAACGTTTTGCTTGTATTGCTGGTCAGACGGGCAGCACCTGGGCAAGCCATGAAGAGTGTGGGCATTAGATAGGCATCAGTGAAGACGTGAGATATGTTAGACAGTGAAGTCTACAAAGGTCAAACGCTTTAAGGCTCAGATTGAGAAAAGTCTCAGAGAAATGTGAAGTTTTAATTGTTTTTTTATAAAAGCTGAGGGCATATTTTGATATGACTAGACTGGGGTCTAATACCGTACTGGGTAGAAAGAGATCATTGGATTTTACATGTATTCATCCAACATACTGGAACACACACCTGACATGAGTCATTATCTATAATGTTGTTTGGCTCCAGGTTTGTATGTTCTTGATTGTCAGTACAATACAACACAGAGATATTGTTCATAAAATGCATTATACTCATACACAGTGTCATTCACGATCAAAAAGTCAGTAAGGGCAACTCTTTCAGATATGTAGTTGCTGTCCCCACAAACTGCATCTAAGACAAGTGTGACAGGAGTAGAAACAGGGCTGTGTCTGACTCTGACGAGGGACTTAAGTAGCACTGAGACCCACAGTACAAAGTGGGATTGAAAATGAGTTTGTAGAGCACTTAAAGGGCTGATCCGCTGAATTACACACGTATGACCATCACTACGATATTTTTTTTTTTTTTTTTTAGTAAAGATAGATATAAAGAACATCAACTAACAAATAGCAGGATGTTTCCACTTAAGTTACACTTGAGTGTTCTCTTATGAGTGTACACGGATGCTTTGTTGATTGTGTTGGAAGTTTTAATAAATTACTTCTACTGAAGAAATTACAGCTAATGCCTTATTTTGTCTGTTTTAAAAGTCTTGAATAAGTGTTTATTCAGTCCATTTTTTCATTGAGGCTTTCATGAAACAGCTTTTCATTTTTACATTTATTTCAACAAAAAAAAAATCACAACCTCTTACATAAAAATCTGTTCTGTTCGTGTTATTTGTGTTCTCTTAAAGGCAAGAATGACATGTCTAGTATACATGACCACACATATTGTGACGCAGTGCAAATTAAAATCATTTCATTCAGTCACATCACACACCATCACATGACCATTCTCATGGTGACACACCCTCTGAGGGGAACAGGGCAGGGTATGGCATCATCTACCTCAATGCAAGTGTCTATGTAAGGGTCCATCAGCACCATGTTGGGGAATGTTTTGTTACTCTTCCTCTCGCTGACCAGGTATATCTGCCCGCTGACTGTGGTGCAGCCACAGAAGAACTTCCTGTCCAGAGATTCCTCCTCCAGCACAGTCCACTCGTCTGTCTCCACGTCAAAACGCAAGGTTTGGCCTCCAAACAGGTAGAGGGCACCATTGAGCTCAGTGGCAACCAGGTCATATCTAGGAATAAGTTAAAAAAAGATGAAGTTTTTTTTCGCAACCAATTATCCTGCTAATTAAACTCTTTATTTTGAAACAATAGAACAATAAAGAAATGTAATTTTAACAACGTTAAAGTGACAGAAGAGCTGAGAAGTCATTACTTTACTGGAAATTCACTCACCGTGGAAATGGAGAATAGGAGACCACATCCCACTGATCCTCCTTCACCACATATCTCTGAATTCCACTATACACCTCCCCGTTTTCATCCAGGCCACACGCCACGTAGATACACGATGCCAGAGCAGCAGTGGCTGCCCTCTCCACAGCCCTAACCATGGGTTCGACCTCCTCCCAACCCTCCTTTGACCCCAGGACCAACCTTTCTACATCATCCACAACCCCTTCATCCATACTACCACCCAGGACATACAGTACTGAGTCCAGCCCTATGGAGCAGTGGCTGTGCCTGGACTTCTGCAGGGCTGGCGCATCCACCCAGCGCTGGTTCCCACATTCATATACCCTGACCCAGTCCACACTGAACCACAGCACGTCCCGGAAGTAACCGCCTGTCACAACCACATTGTCACCTACATAATGAGAAAATAAACAAAATATAGTGTGAAAAAATAGATGACAATTTGAATGTTCAGTATGTTTCATTAGGTCATTTGCCTTTTAATATGAAAACTGACTGATGAAACCCTGTAAATACACATTAAGCCTCTCACTCATCATCAGTTTCATTACTGCACTCATCTCCATCATCATGAACATCATCATTCTCATTACCCAAACATTACCTACTGCAGCTACTGAGTACTGTGTGAGGTTCTTCCTCTGCAGAGGTGCACAGCTCTGCCATCTACCACTGAGCGGGTGAAATTGGTACAGTGGCTGTTGCTCCTGATCGTGAGGTCCGCCCAGGACAAAGAGGGTTTCTCTGGCCCTGGTCCTCCTCATTGACTTGCCCATTGACCAAGATGCTGGGAAATGTTCATTCAGCATGCAAATGAGCTTGGCTCTAGGGTCAGAGCTTTTCATTCTGGTCAAAAGTTGAGTGATGAACGGTAAAGAGAGAGACTCAGGCCTCACGAGCTCAATGAGCTCCAAAAAGTGTTCTTCTCGTTTAGGGTCAAATGACACCCAACGTAGGGTGGCTTCCAGGGCCAGATCATCTTTATGGATGGTCAGGTCATCGCTGGCAAGAAGATTTGCTATGGTATCCTTAGACAGGGACAGGAAGTCTTCTTCAGCAACGACAGCAGAAAAGTGTGTGAGCACCACCTGTCGTGCCACGATGTAGAGCTGAGTGCAGCCCAGCTGCCAGGCATAAGCCATCATTCCCAAACAATTACTGAGGTGCAGCTCACGCTCCAGGAACTTGCAGCACAGCAGCCTGGCTCGCTCAAGCTGGAGGAAGTCTGCAGTCTCAAGGATCCCCAGAACATTTTCTCTGTCCAAAGCCAGTCTGGATGTCCTGCTGTGATCCATCAAGACTCTGAAATGCCGCAGACTCAAACCTTTAATTTCAATTTTCCTTTTGCTGCTCTCTACACCACACCCGAAGAACAGGGCCCTGAAGTAGGGACTCTGGTGGGCCAGACATTGGCGGCTGACATAAAAACTCTCACCTTCTACCCGTGGAGTAGCATCAGGGATATCAGGCTCAGAGTGTTTCACATGTAAAGTGGATTCATCCTCCTCCAGTCTGTTTATCCGCTCAGAGAGAACTGTCAGTCTCTGAGGTGGCAGCTCAGCGTCAGCTCTGTGGGCCATGTCACAACAAACAACCACACCAGCCATACTCTACGCAGTGCCTCGTCCTCCTTCTGGTTTACAACACACCAGCTGGTGGTATTAATAGACTTTCCCCCTGACTGACTGTTGGCTGTAGGCAACAAGGGAAAGGAGGTCAGTTTGAAAACAGGTGCTAATTATAACATAAGCAGGCCAAGGACCTACAATGTAACACTAGTTTTTCATCATTAAACTTTCTCATTTTCTTTCTGAGTAAATTAATAATAGAGTCAACAAACCAATGACGTCAGCGACAGGCGCTCAACGATTTGATTGGTGGAACATTTCTGAGGTCAAAGTTTAACTTCCGTGTCACACAGCTAACATGGCGGTGAGTTCGTATGGTTTTCTTTTTCATTCAAACACATTTTCACCTGTGCGACCGTAAACGTTCTCGGGTATATTCTTAGCCTGTAATTGTTTTGGCGAACATGACATGAGACGTAAAACTGCTCCTCCATATATTATATATGTCGTTTCTGGTGCATTTGCTAACTTCACTAGCCAGGCAGAGCTAACCTCAGGCTAAGTTAGTGTTTGTGTGCGGTTAGCTCGCATGTGACTCACAATAATGTCCTCTTGCACTGTATAGGATAAAGAGAAGAAGAAAAAGGAGAGCATCTTCGACTTGTCAAAATACATCGACAAGCCGATTCGCGTGAAGTTTCAAGGAGGACGAGAGGGTAGGTGGATTAATCCAGCTAGTAGGCTAATGCTAACCAAACTAGCCAGTGGAAAGAGAAGCCAACGGTACACGTATGAGCTTTGTTTGATCTTGACTAATGCAAGCTTTACAATGTGTGTTTCCCTTTCAGCCAGCGGTGTCCTGAAAGGGTTTGATCCTCTGCTGAACCTGGTGCTCGACGGCACAATCGAGTATATGCGTGGTAAGTGGATGTAAAGTAGATGGCTGGCTGGGACAAAGAAACATTGAAAAGAAACTGTATGGATGGATGTCATAACTTGGCTGGATGACTGGCAGAAAAAAAAGAACCGCACACAGTACACAACTCTACCGACATGTGTAACCTGTTGTTTTGTCAAAATATGTTACCTTTTATTTGTGTTTCCCTTAACCTGAACTCAGCTTTAAGCTTTACCCAAACAAGTCATCTCTGCAGTGCCGAACCATATCCTATAATTAACCTAAATTATCCCCTGGACCCAGCCACCGAGGGCAGGACCAGGGGAAACACTCTGTGAAAGGGGAATCGAACTTTGACACAAGTGTGAAAATACTGCAGCAACACCACCGGCGATGATGTCTGTGCTGAATATGGCAGTTCTGTTCCATTGCTGTGTTTAGTCTCCCAGTCAAAAGAGGACATTGATACATGATCTGTTTTCCATGTATGTAGAGGACAATGGCACTTTCATGACGGGTAATGAATGTTGCCTGCTCGTGGACAAGGAAATTTTAAATTGTCGTCGTCCACTGGCCCAAATAAAGGGCTTATGTTCACAAAGCAATGTCGAATTTGGAAAAATGTTGCTGACTGAAATTGATCAAATTAAATTATAAAATGTGAATGATCCTTCTTCTCAGTAATGGTTCCCTTGATGGCACAAGTGGTTAACATTGTGGTTAATTGAAAGCATAACATACAACAAATGCTCCTGGGCTAGGTTCAGCTAAATTAAACATCTGCGGTTTTTTCAACTGTATTGACTATGGCCGATAATCCTCATATTCACACCAGATTTTGTAGGAAATTGGATTTTTACGTCACCTCCTATGAGGTATAGTATGTGCAGTACGTTTTCTGATATGTAAGACAACACTTTGGTACAGATTCAACTTGGGAGTCCATAGTGTTCCTTGAACATAAAATAATCATACGCACAAACAGCCACACCACATATGTTTTTTATTAAGGCTGAAAAAGGGAGAGGCACATACAGTATAGTGACTCATACAGAATTAGATATCAGATGGTTTCCTGTGAAGCCCAGTTTTGAATCAGCTTGCACAAGTGGCATAATTGGACATGTGTTTGTATCGGCATTTCAGTTTCAATTCAGTAAGAACTGACTGATTTAAATAATGTGACACTTTAAACTTAAATTCTTGTGTGTCTGTAACCCTTGTGTATCCAGATCCAGATGACCAGCTGAAGCTGACAGAAGACACCAGGCAGCTGGGGCTGGTGGTCTGCAGAGGAACCTCTGTGGTGCTAATCTGTCCTCAGGACGGCATGGAGGCCATACCAAACCCGTTCATACAGCAACAGGACGGCTAACACACACACAGTCTGTTGCCTGATGAGTTGCAGATGCACACACACACACAACCATCCACACACTTGCATATTTTGATGTTTTTGTTGTTTTAATTTGTTTTAATCATCACAGTAATAATGAATACAACAAGACAATTTTCTGTTGTTAAAAATAATAAGTTGACCAGCAAAAGGACATTTATAAGCACTTCACTTTTGTTTCTGTCTGTGGTGGGCAAATTTTCAAAGATTTGAGTTGTAAAGAGCCCACACGTGTGGGAAGTGTTAACAGTACTGTTTTCCTTTTATCCAGAATAAGTAAACTTTTTACTTTTTGTTGTTTTTGATAAAAAAATAAAATGAAAATGTATGTTTGGTCTTGTAAGTTTGTTTTCCCTTGTTGTACATTTAGGATGTCTGGATGAAGAACTGAGATGGCAGAATAAGAAAGTACTGTTGTTTTTTTTTTATGTGATTGAGAGAACTTTGAACGTTGCACATGTTTTGCATAAATGAGCTCCAGTGTTGAGTCAAACAGCCCAGCTGTCTGCCCACTGTACAGTTACCCTGTACAGAGTTTCTATATTTAGCAATTAGGGCAGGAGTTCTGAAATATTGGTTTTGACCAGTCAAACCATCCAATATGGACTCTTGGTTAATTCATGGCCAGACAGGCATGTTTCTTCCCATTTATTAAAAATAACTATTCAATTCCAGTTCCTGTCAGTTTTAACTTTCTGAAGCTTTATTGTTGAAATCATGTTCCGGTGCCCTATGAAACCCTGAAATTATCTTTTTTTTTTTTTCTTTTTTTTTTTCAACTTTTTGTCCTCACATCTTATAAAAAGCTGAAAAGATAATGCCTGACTTTAGATATAATGATCTTCAGCCGGAAAATTTAAATTCTTGACTTGAAGTTGTTGAAATGAGTTTAGTATTTGTCCTTAAAGTAAATGGGCCCCTGTCCTTCCATTTCTTAAAGCCAGATTCAGTGTGAAATGGGGGGGGGGATTCTGAATTTATTACAATTGTAGTAGCTCTTGATCTTTAAACACATTTAGAGGAATAAAGGGAGTGTGTGTGAGAGAGAGAGAAGATAAGCCATTCAAGCCTTTCTGCACACATACAAAGAGGCATTTGTGGTATTAACTGCTCTGAGTTGAAAGTGTTTTCAAGCAGGGTGGAGGAATAATGAAGAGTAAACTTTGTTAGGATTGTTTCTTTAGGGTGGGTGGCAGGATGGACTCTGTAGGCTGTTACAAATGTACTTTTGTTAAAATACTATATAAAATTTGTTATTTTAAATCAGAGGCTAATTACTCCTCAGATTATTTCTCTGAGGAACAATACATCCTGAGCTGGGCTCCAGATTTCACTTAATATTACTCAGATATGTGAATATCCAACATAGTTGTATACTGTATATTTGACTTGCAGCCAAAAGGAATAATTCCAGGAGGCTTCGCTCCTCCTCTGATGCTCAGTCACTGTGTCAATGGGCCACAGACAGGCAGCAGCTGGAATCTGTACCGAGCTCCACAGCAGAGCGTGTAGATTTTTTTTATGCCCAGTTTTTTTTTCTGGCATTACTTTTCTGTGACGCGCGTTGCGTAAAGAGGAGTGCCGCCTCTGTGTTATTTACCTGGCTATCTCTCAGGTGACAGTGGAAATGCCTGTACACATTGGTGTGTAACTAAAGGGATGAAGACCGATGGGAGGAGGGTCGGTCGGGGATTTTTGAGAAGCCGAGTCAACAGTAAAGTAAACTGAACAGGTTAGTTACCTGCGGGACGGGCACGGCACGCCCCTTTGGCAGGTGGAACAAATAGCGGGTCCCTCGGTCCTGTCCCTTGTCTTCTTCCATCCATGTAGCTGTGTAGCCGGTCATGCAGTGAGGACTGCGGGATATCGTGAATGTCAGTGTTCAGAGGAATGAGAGAGGAAAGAACGAGGTGAGTGAGTTTGCTTCAGAACATAAAGCCTGTATTGTTAAATGTCCCACAGTGCGGAGCACCTACGGTCACTGTGCGTAATTGGCTGGTGCAGTGAATATCTTCACCGCAGGCGTTGATTCATTTAAATCTTGTTATCTGTAAAAGTTAAGGAAAGTTTTCTTTATTTGTCTTTTCGTTGTTGTGATCTTTCTCCACATGATTGCAATGATTTTTAACATGGCCACCCTGGTCTTCTCCTCGCAGACCTCAGCCAGCTCCCGAACAGAATTACTGATTAATGTCTTTTTTTCAGTAGCCTATAACCCTTTTCTCAGATGCGTGTGGTTAATTTTTCTTTTTCTATTGATGTGATGCACACAACTGGATTTGCTTTTAAGCCACGTGTCTCCACAGTTGGTTACAATGTCATTGTTTTGATCATTTCACAAATAAGTGGGATCTCTTTCAGGAACACCATACCCCTTAATGTAGAATATTGTTTGTGTAAGTGACAAAAGTCATGTCTGTGGATCACTTATTTAAGTATTTATAAGCTACTACATATGGGTGGGCAGAAGTTCTGTATTACTCAGTACAGTTTTTATTTATTTATATCAAGAGATGATGTAAGAATTTTGTTAGTTTCTCACAAGTCTGTTCATGTTTCTATGCTACATGTTTTGCATAAATGTGATTTTGCATATTTCATATTCTATATACTAATATCATGAGAAAATGTTTATCTTCATTATGAAATTGATTTAGATCAGTGTCCAGCCCAGCCTACTGCATGACTGTGTTACCTATACCTCCATTAATGACATGTCATTCTACTTTTATATTATAGTATTATGTCTTTTCAGGACATACAGTACAGCTGTTTTCACTGTATTCTTATCAGGCCTGGATCATTTTGTGTGTTGGGCATGATGACACTGGAGACACTGGAATGTGAGCTGTGAGGTTGGTGCTGTGAATCCAACATGGAGGTGAAGAAGGATGGAGGAGGAGGAGGAGGAGGAGGAGGGCCGTGGTCTTCTTCCCCTGCCTGCTACAGGAGCACTGTCATAGCCTTGCTCCTCTTCTTCCTAGTTATCGGAGTCTTTGTAGGCCTGCTCATTGGTGCGTCCACAAACAGTGCTGTCCGATTTACCCCACAATCACAGACTATACTTTTCATTTGTAATTCTTAATAAGGGTTAACCACTTCTCCTTTGTTGTTACCAGCATACCTGGTGCAAGAGCAGCACTATTTCATGGAGACGGTGGAGCTGAGGGGTCTGAAGTATGATCCTGTTTTGCAGGATGAGAACTCTGGTTTCTCCATAGTACTGTCCTCAGTTTTAAAGTCCAAGGTTAGTCTTGACTGTAACTGATGAAAGGTCAATATTTCCTCTAAAGGGGAAAAAAAAGGATTTAAAAGGATTTTTACTTTCTTACAGATTAAAAATGTCTTCACTGCCTCATCAATATCACATCACTACATTGATTGTAGTATTGTTGCCTATGGGTAAGTGAGAGCTAAACTAAGGCAGATCATTTATTCTAAGTGAAAAAGAGTGTAGGAGATTAAGCAAACAACACTGTGTTCTTCCTCTTCCTTCCAGTAACATTAATGGTGACGTGATGGTGACGTTCAGACTGGTCTTCGCGGTCTCCAAGGTGCAGCAGTATTCAGACAGTTTTGTCCAGGACTTGCTGAGAGCAGGGCTCAGCTCAGTAATGCACGGGACACTGCTAGAGGTGCCAGAATTTGGACAGATCAGCACTATCATCTTACTGGGTAGTAAAAACTACACTGTCATCAGTTGACTGTCTGTGACCTCCACAGACTTCACAGGATCTAATGTTTTGCTTTCCTTTCCTTCCTAGGTGCCAGTGGGAAGTCATTTTATGCTGTTGGAGATGAGATGATAGGTGAGTTGGTGAGAATGGTACCTGTAAATCTGTATGTGTTTACACCCGCTTAGAATAGTAGAATTGTTTTTCATATTAATGTAAGCTGTGTTAAATGATTGATTAACTGCGTACAAATGTGCATACAAATCCTCCCCCTTGATTTTTCTGAAAAAAATCAAAATCACCTCATTTGGAGATAGAGGTATTTATTTTGGAAAAGGACCTTAAGTGAGATCAAGTAATCATCAGTCTGGGATTTTCTCGTTAAAAATTGTTCTAATTTCTTTGATTCACTCCTCCAACCTCCATCTAATCCGTTTTCCAATCGTCTGGGTTCTTCAGCCAGGTGTCCTGACAACACGTTCACTTGTGACAATGGAGAGTGTGTCACCAAATTAAATCCAGAGTGTGACTTCATCCCCGACTGTGCAGATGGATCCGATGAAGCTCGTTGTGGTGAATGACTCTTGAAACTACCATTTTGACCATTTAACCACTGTCCTTTTAAGCCTCATTGTTCGATTTTCTCAAATTCTTTTTCGGTTGTTTTTGGTATAAAAGTACAAACTGTGTACTGTATATATACTGACTGCTCATATTTGAGGTAATTGACTGCACTTTCCCCCTCAGCCTGCGGTACACGTCCTGCCATGGGGAGTCGGGTGGTGGGAGGTGAGGATGCTCGGGAGGGGGAGCTGCCGTGGCAGGTCAGTCTTAGGCTCCATGGACGCCACACCTGTGGAGCCTCCATCATCAACGAACGCTGGCTGGTCAGTGCAGCACACTGCTTTGAGAGGTAGGCAGCAAGTCGCTGAGGAGTTATTTATAAATCTCCCAAGCAGTGGCATAACAGCAGCATTCAAAAATTAAGGGGCATTTTAATTAATCAATCAGTCAAATAAATTAGATTTCTGTAAATTGTGCCATTAAGTGACTTGCATGTGTATTTTAAAAGTAATGTCATCTGTTTTTTTTTTCTGTTCTAAGGGACAATGACCCCAGAGATTGGACCGCCCTGGTAGGGGCCAGTCTGGTGAGCGGTGAGGAGTCGGAGTCCAAGATGATTAATATCAAGTCACTGGTTGTGTCTCCAGACTACAACCTCATGAATACTGACAATGATGTAACAGTGCTGGAGCTGGAGACCCCTCTCACCTTCAGCTCTTACATCCAGCCTGTCTGCTTGCCCTCCCCGTCTCACATCTTTGCTCCGGGCCAGAGCTGCGTGGTGTCGGGGTGGGGCGCATTGAACCAGTTTAACAGTGAGTACACCTCAACATCAGATCAATCAATTTGGAATGAAAATGAATGAACTGACATATGTGAGTCATACAGAAAGAGTTATCATCAATGCCATGGCATCAATGATATGTTGATATTTTGGGGGTGACTGTTGAAGCCTTCAGACAATATATTTCCATAAGATAATTCTGAGCATAAGATCATTACTAATGTGGACGCAATGACCAAAGAAGGCAAGGAATGTTATGTTTGTTTCCCCTTGGCTGCATCAGAAACTGTATTGACTATAATACAACCTTTAAAATCAGAAAAAAGGTAACATTTAACTGCATTACGACACCCTAAATCCCATATGATCTGGTCTTATATCATTATCACTGTAGTTGTTCCAGATTTACAGCATATCTTTATATTCTTGAAAGCCATTGTATCTTGTCCTTATAATGAAATAATGGGCAGGACTGTGTGCAGAAAAATGAATGAGTGTGAGTAATGAGTAATTCAGCTGTGCTATACTGTGCTATGTGTTTAGCTGAGGTGCCTCCTACGCTGCAGAAGGCGGTGGTGAAAATCATCGACTCTAAGCTGTGCAACAAGTCGTCCGTGTACAGAGGTGCTGTTACTCACAACATGATGTGTGCCGGATTCCTGCAGGGCAAGGTGGACTCGTGTCAGGTCAGTGCTGTTTCTGAAGCCATGAAAACACTTCACATAAGGTAACTACAATGGCATGAGCTATCAACTTACGTTTTCTTACATTACTTCCTTGTCTTGGGGCAGAGTTTGTATACATACACTGATGATCTGGTCTTTCTTTTCTGTCTTGGAACTATAAGTAGGGCCAAACTGTATGTTAACATTGGTCCCACCCTAAAAATGGAGGCCTGTAGGTTGTTTTTGTTATAAAATCTCAGTATAACATGATGATGTGTGTTGGTACAATGACAAGGACAAAGCATGACATACTTCCTGAGTGAGGACCTGTCCTCGACTGCTCACTTCACTTTGACACTTTGTATGGGACATGCTGTGTTATCAGCTTTTGCATCAGAAAATCAGGGGTCTTGTGTTTTTTTCCTACAGGGAGACTCTGGGGGCCCTCTGGTGTGTGAGGGGGCCCCTGGGAGGTTCTTCCTGGCTGGGGTGGTGAGCTGGGGTGTGGGCTGTGCCATGATCAACAGACCTGGGGTTTATTCCCGCGTCACCAGGCTCCGCAACTGGATTCTCAGCCACACAAATCCCAGCTTGGTCCAGGATTATTCCCAGTATGTTCCCACAGTGCCAGTTACTGTCACAGGACTGAACTTTAATAATCCACCAGTGCAGGCGACCTTAGCCATGGACATGTCATCTGCACCAACTCCACCTGGTAATCTCACACTTCTTCTCAGAGTAATGGAATGAAGTTAGTTATAAATAAAATATCACAAATGTGGAACTCAAACAATTTGTGTTTATCCAAATATCCAAGCTACCTTTTTCCCATCATGTCTTCCAGTCTTGAACTGCAGTGGAAACTTCCAGTGCAGCACCACCTCCTGCATCAGCAAGGTAAACCCAGAGTGTGATGGAGTCCCTGACTGCCCCAACCAGGCAGACGAGACAAACTGCGGTATGTTTATATCAAATACATGGAGTAGCCTACACGTGATTAAAAGGAAACACTTCTGAGGTGTGTTTATGTTTCAGACTGTGGTGTGCGTCCTGCGCTGGGCTCACATAGGATCATAGGTGGAGTGACAGCTCGAAGAGGGGAGTGGCCTTGGATCGGTAGTCTACAGTACCAGAGACTTCACCGCTGTGGCGCCACACTCATTCATAGCAAATGGTTACTGACAGCAGCGCACTGCTTCAAAAGGTACTGTGTATTTGGCTAGTATCATCCTACAGCAACTTACTGAAACTACATGCTTTAGCACTACAAAAAATCACAGCCCACTTGTATAAAAAAAAAAAAGTTTCAAGTTACATTTATAAAATTTATAACAACAGTGACCCGAGCCCCTCTAACTGGGCTGTGAGCCTGGGATCCGTGCTGCGTTCTGGGATGGCAGCCATGGTCATCCCCATCCAGAGGGTCATCATTCACCCAGCTTTCAATGGCACCAACATGGACCATGACGTGGCTCTGTTGGAGTTGGCAGTCCCGGCCCCCATGTCCTACACCATCCAGTCAGTCTGTCTCCCCTCAGCGGTGCACCACTTCCTGAAGAATGCAGAGTGTTACATCACAGGCTGGGGATCCATGAGGGAGGGAGGTGAGAGAAGGCAACACTTGCATGAGACATAGTCATCCAGAAAGCATCGTACAACTGCATAGTGTTGTAAACAAACTGGATGACTGGAAACCATTGTCCTCGTGGAATTGAGGACGAAAAGCTTCCACATTGTTACGACTCTAAAGACTCAGGAAAACAGATTTGCGAAACTCTGTGAAAATGAATAACACACAAAAATAATTATTATTCTTTTCACCAGGTTCATTGACCAACCTGCTGCAGAAAGCAGCAGTCCGCATCATTGACCAGGCAGACTGCCAGCACTCTTATGGAAACGTGCTGACTCCTAACATGATGTGTGCTGGTTACATGGAGGGAGGCAGGGACACCTGTTTGGTAAGACCCTGTACATTATACTTTGTGGCACAAATAACCTTCACTCATCCAGGAAATGAGCCGGACATCTGGCTGGTACAGTCTTGGCGTTATCCGAACAGTAAGATTGTGGACCAAGATTACACTAGTGCTGAGAGGCTCTGGGAAACAGGGCCATGGCCCGGATAAATGTTTTTACAGTGGATGGTTAACCAGGTCAGAGAAACATAAGTGTTGCCTTTTACTCTGTAAAGCACTTTAAAGCACATGAATAAAATGTGGTATGAAAGTGCTTGTCAGATGTTATAATTATGGTGCAGACATGATGGAGAAAACTAAGTGTTGCTTGCTCAGGAACATTGTAGCACTTCTGTGAGAGATGCTTATCTGATGGGAGAGAGTAGACTTTACTCTCTTAAAAAATACAGAGCCCCCCTTCTCACCCACTCCCTGTCTGTAATCTTCTTATGTAAGGAAAACCGCATGCATTCCTGTCTCGGTCAAAGCACCTGGCATCTCAGCAGCGATCCAAGTGACATTCTCTTAGTACCTGCTGTGTCTGTCTTGCTCTCTCTCTCTTCCACACTCCCCCTTAATCAATTGTTTTATTCCCCTGTATAAGCTGGTTACCTGAGAGCATTGCAGTCATTTTCATTTCTGACAAAATTATAGTGGCACTGTTGATCTTTCTCCCTTCTCTCCTTCCTTCTCCATCATCCAGGGAGACTCCGGAGGGCCGCTCACTTGTCGTCAGCTCTCTGGCCAGTGGTTTATTGCAGGAGTGACCAGCTGGGGACATGGATGTGGGCGAACAGGTTTTCCAGGGGTTTACACTCGAGTGACATCTGTCAGGAAATGGATATCTACATACCTGCCTTTCTGAAGAGGCAGAAAAGCAGCTGACATAGTGGATTTTCTTGATACATCACATACACATACATTTCTCCAGAAAATTGTACTGTACAAGGACTTAAGTCATGTTAGAAGCCACACACACACTCACACATACTCACATACCACAGTATTGACCTACGTGATCTGTTGGTCATGGGTGCTGTTTGTCATACTGTGCAATCACCGGTCTATTTCAACACGTACTGAAGAAATAGGGAGAATCCTGAACTGTGGCTTGCAGACAAAATGCTAGAAATATGCACGATCCAAAGTATTTATTTCAGTTATTTATTTTCCTGACTGGTAAACTTACTGTACATGGTGTTATGTTTGTTTTGTTTTTTTCATTTTGTGTGGGGTTCTTAATACATGTGGTTCATATATGGGTAAATCTCCTCCTTTTTTCTGTCTTTTCTAAGACAAAGATCTGATGTAATAACTGCTACTGGATGGTGGGTTTTTAGGGGGAAGAAAATAGTTCTATATGAGAAAGTGGTGTTGGAATCAGCTTTTAAGGGAATTCACCTTTTGACTTGAGTTTGATAAACTCGTAGCCATGTTCCACTGATAGATATGTTTCTCATCAAGAAGAGTGCCTAAGAGAAGAACCTGATTGACAAGCTTTATTCTCATGAAAATCATTCCATTTGCTCATGTTCACAACTCCAATCAGACTGCAAATAATGTTCACATGCTTTTCTGGTTCTCTCTCCTACAAAAACTCAGCAGGAAAGGAAAAAAAGGGATTCTGGTTCCCAGACATCTGACAAACCGTGCACACATAACTGAGAAAGGTTCAGTGCCCCCTCTACAGCTAAGCAGACCCTGCTGAAACAAGCCCACTACTGTGGAGGGCGGCATATAGAGTGACAACTAGAAAACAGGTCAGACAAAACACTTTTGTTCTCCAGGCGTACTTTGATATCGGACTGTTTAGAGGTTTGTGAATGTCAGGTTCACGGTTGTGAAAACACCAAGTTGCTCCTCAATTCTTTCTGGTGATTTTAAGTTGGTCTTTTAGAGTAACAGCATGTTAAGGAAAGCCTGTGTCGCCCCTTTAGGGCTCCTGTTGTGCTCTTTATTCTATTGGCACAAATATCGACTCTCTCTCTCTCTGAGCAGAATCACATTGAAAGATGTGGGCACACTGCGGAGAGCGTTTTAAGGAGTTTAAATTGTAGTGACTTAGAGATCCAAGTCCTGTTAACAATAATCAGTATCATGTGTCCTAATTATACAGGCTATTGAAAACAAGAAACATTCAAGCTTAGTTTGATGGCAGGAAGACGCCAGGCTGAATAAAGTGTTTCTATTGAAGCTGTTATAAATATGCCAAGAAACAAAGGCCATGGTGCTGCAGCTGGCTTATTTATGACTGCCACATTGCAACGTCACATTTATTTTCTATACTGCTTATCCTATTCAGGAGCACGGGGGAGCTAGAGTATATCCCAGCATGTAATGTGCAAGAGGTGGGGAACAGCCTGCACAGACAGGGCTAACATGTGCAGACAAACACTTTCACATTCACTCCGAATGGCAATTCAGAGATTTGGATTTATCTATCCACACTGCAGCTTTTAACAATGTGGGTTGACTTGTCAACCAGAAAATTCATTATTTATAACACAAAAACATAATTAATCAAACTTGGTTACTCAGAGCAAAATGAAAACGTCCACAGAGACATTGTTATGGCTAGAGTCCACAGGCTACTCCTTGGCCTGTCTGTGAGGTATGATGACAGTAGTTGATGGTGTGCTGCTGCTTCCACAACACACACCTGTGCCCAGCTCGTGACCGCCAGTGGCTCACTGTGCTCCTCCTCACTGTGAGCAGCGGTCTGAGGAAGGGAAGGGTGGAGAGGGGGATGTTCACATGCGAGCCCTTTCCCTCTGTAATCTGGAGTTGTATGTTCGGGACACGGTGTTCCAGGCATCCATATACCGATCCATACACATGGCAATACATTTCTGTGAGGAGAGGAGCAGTGAGGTTAAAACTTTTAAGGATTCATCCTCAAATTGTTCAATAGTGTGGGATCTTTTTCAAGGATTAGGATAATGTGCTAATTATTTCCCCAATCAATTCATTCATCTAGAAAATGATGGTTAATCTGCCCATTACAATTTCACAGAACTTGGCTGACATATTCAAATTGTTTTTGAGCCTGACTGATACTTTAAGCCCCAAAGATATTAAATTTATTATTAAGAAAAACAGCAAATCCTTATGTCTGAGAAACTGGAACCAGTTTTTCAGCTTCTGCCAACACACTTCTCATCTTCTTTTATGATTCAACACATACCTGCTCAGAGTTGTCCAGCGTGCTTCCAGGTTTACCTATGCACTTCTTGAAGCATTTGTCAGTCATTCTCTGAAACATGAATGAAAATGTTACCGGTTATTACGCTGAATTTATAACTGATAGCTGTGAAAATACCCAGAGAAATTCGGGAGTTAAACTGGGTTAAAGGTAGATCTGGTTAACGAGTCAGGGTTTAGGACGTTACATTGTGTCAGCAGCTTTTTAAAATATGTTTCTATAAGTACTGCTTCATTAATATGGTATTAATCTCTATGTAACGTTATGCCAGGATTAATAAAGTTTTTCATACCATCCCTGTTAAACTTTACTGCAGTTACCATCACTCCTCCACCTTCTAAGATTCAGCTTAGTCTTGCTAGCTTAGCACCGTTGATTTACCTGCAGCAGTTCCTGCGCGTTAGCCACCGCGATCTGGACCTTCACCTGCTCCATGATGACGCCGGTGTCCATTTTACCGCCGGATCCTCCTGCGGAGAAGTCTGAACCGAACCCGTCCATTTCCACCGGAGTCGATACCGAAAACGGTTGCTTAAATCGATCTACTGTAAACACACGTGTGAACAACTGCAGCTAAGTTCGGCTAACGTAAGTTTTCGATGCCCTTGACAGCGGCGGAAGTCGGTAAACGTCATTTCCGTATAGAGCATTCAGAGTCACGGGAAATGTAGTTGTTCTTTGTGTGTGTGGACACGGTTGAGTTACGGTGTAATAAATACACCGCTGCCAAAAACATTTATTGTGATATTTCAGCTCATGTTAATAGACACAGACATGTAGCAAATATGGACATACAGCCCCCCTACACACACACACACACACACACACACACACACACACACACACACACACAGACGCACGCATGTTTGCCACACGGTGGCAATATACTCCATTGAATAATTCAAGTCTCTAATAAAATTAATTATCTCCACTTTGACTTATTTCCAAGATAGACTGCCTATTGTGCGAAACGAGGCTTTGATATTTAATGCACATGTTTTTAGATTTAGATTAAACATTTTTTGTAACCTCCTGTAACAGATATTGCAAATTCAGTCACTGTATTGTAGCATAAGTAAGGGTTGGTAATGTCCAGTAATGAAGGACCAATTTAGGACTGTTGTTTCTTCTTTGATCCAGTCAATAAATGTTTTTGTTTTGTGTGTTTTGTATGAAAAAATTCATACTGTATATAAAATATATATAAAAATAAAAGTTTGCAAAACATCTCAACAGGCTGTTATCTTATCTTGAATTATACTGAACAGGTTGTATGTGAAAATATATTTAAAAATAAAATAATAATAATGTGCATAAGACTGTGGTCATTTTATTGCCATATTCTTTTTATCCATTGCATAATCATATTGTGTTCTTGTAAGTCAGTCATTTCAAGGCTGTTACTGTAAACTGCTCTGCTAACTTGAATAAACTTGTCAACGTGCCTAGGTAAATAAATAAAAATAAACTACTTAGGAAGCGGGAGCCAACTATAGAAAGTGATAAGAACCTCCACATTGTTTGGTGCTGAGGCCTGAACGTGAGGATGACCCCCTCTGAGGACCCCTCTCCTCGTGTTTCAGACAGGATGACCTCACTGAGGGGACCACCTGCCTTGTGTGTGAACAAATATGTGGTACAGTGAGTCTGCAGGCAACAATGCAGTGACCGTTACTGTCATCTAAACCAGCACTCTGTGAATGGTTTGTGGCAATGCTGGGGGCATTGAGGAGTAATTGTGGGGGGTCTGATTAGTGGCGTGCCTGCCTGAGAGTAATTAATGACCAGTTAAACAATACCAATGCAAACACACACACACATGCACATATGTCCTCAGACCAGTTTGGCTTCAAGCCATGGGGCTGAATGGGGGGAGGGGAGAGTTGGATTAAAGTGCAGCAAAATGAATTAACCCTAGATTACAATCATGAGTTCATTAATCTAATCTTCTTAAATTCTTAATCTCCTGTAGGCACACTTGTGTGTATGAAAGCATTTGGCCCAGTCAGATACAAGGGAGGCTTCAACGTGCACCAGCAACAACGGTTATGGGAATGTAAATTACCAACGTGTGTTTATTGGTGTCAAACACTGAGGTTACACAAGACTGTTTGTGATTCCTTTGGGACTTTCAAGTGTATAGTTGCAAGCAGAAATGTGGTGGCCAAGTAGGCTAGAGTTGCGACGGAAAAATGATGTCATTATGTCAAGGGCATAGTTGTAAGCACTCACAGCAAGTTTCATGTCAGTTAATCAAAGACTGGCTGAGATATAACTTGATTTTTCTGTTTGGCACCTTTGTTGCCAATTTTGATTGGAACTGAGTGATGAATGCTTTTGCAAATCAAAAAGCCAAAGAGTCATTCTTGGTTTCAAAAACATCTGTGTCAATTTTGGTAATGATTGGAAAAGGTTTGTCTGAGGAACAGCGAAAAAAAAGTTTTTGATGTTTGGTGATTTTTGCTATGACAGACAAATGCTTTGGAAAATCAAAAATAACTGTGATAACTTTTGTGAGGCTTGGTCTGAAGATCATCTGTGCCAATTTTAGTTTTCAAGATTGAACAAAGTTTGTCTGTGAAGTTCTTAAAAAAATACTTTACTATAAAATCCAAAATGGCAGAAATGGAAGTTATAGGGTGCTTTGCACTCAGCTTGATTCAATTCAATTGTACCTAATTTTTGAAAAGATTGGGCATACAGTTCAATAGTTAAATGCATGAATGCACCACCAACTTTTATTTGTTGGTGGCACTAGAGCGCTTCAGGCACAGACATGAAAGTTGGTGAAAAGCATGAGCGTCCCCACTCAGGGTGCCAAATTTTTACCATACAGATCTTGCAGATCTAGTCTGCCATAGACTCACATAGCAGAAGAGGAAAAAGAAGTTAAAGAAGAAAAGCTAGAAACACAATGGAAGCCTATGTAGCTTTGCTGCTCGGCCCCCAAAAAAGACATTTGGTAACTTGAGATATGAGTGGCACTGAAATTTAAATCCCTTGTAAGGAAACAATAAGAAATAGTGGATAAAAGGAAAACTGACACACACACACACACACACACACACACACACACACACACACACACTACATAAACTCAGACAGTTGAGAAACAGCAGCAGCTTTTAATCTTCAAAAGCAGCTGTTGAGTGGCAGAAAGAGGGAGTGAGAGACAGACAGAGAGAGAGAAGCAGGAGAAACCTGAGCAGTGTAGGCATCGACTACGGCGCTGGAGAGTCTCTCTCAGTCTGTCAGTTTTACGAGAGAGTAATAATGCTCAGAGCCTCTATTGTTTGAATAAAATGAGCTTATTTTAAACCCCAAATATTTAAAATATCCTAAGTCCATTTAACCTCTCAAGTAATTCTGCTATGTTAGTTGGTTTTTTTTTCATCTCTGGCTATCACTCTTTCTCCTTTGCTGACTTTCATGGAACTGTTAAAGCATGAAAAGCACAGGTGCAACTAATAACGTTTAAAAATGCCTCTGTTGCTTTTAAGAGTCCCAGTAAAATGCGGAGCCAGCATACACAAAAGCAGGGCCCTCACAATGGCACACCTAAAATGGAATCAAACCATTTACAATGTCATTTGTTACACCTACAAACATGTTGAGACATGTCCCAACAAAGAACTATGTTTTAGTCGCACAGAAAAGGGACATTAGTATTGTATTTATTTAAAGTATATTTAAGTGTGAGTGAGTTTAAGTGTGTAAGAGAGTTAAAAGAAATTAGTATTTGGATATTACTTACTATATCATATTTCTCATACATAAATACACAGAATACACACAGAGAAATTTTACCTGATTACTTCAAAGTCTTTTTCAAAATGTTTATGGGGCTGTTATGACCTCTGTGTTGTATCATGTTTTAAGCAGCCCATGAAAACTCCTTGTATGTGCAGGCTGATCCTTGTCCTGATAACCTACCTGGAACTGAGGGACATTCTTCATACATTTCTGTGAACCTCACGAGTGCGTAAATCCATCAGAAAATGTCAGGAACTCAGTTGGAGAAGTGACCTCATGGTCCTCAGAAGGACTTTAACCTGCCATCATATGACCACTAAGACTGCTGGTTATGTGAAGCTGGCAGTCTGAGCAAGGGCAACACTGTGCCTGGTGCTGGTAGAGAGCAAGGATGCTGATCACTATTCCTGATGATTATAATCAGTTCTAGTATCTGGGTAAACTTTGTATCATATGACCATGTTCTCTGTTTTTGCTTGGACATGTGATAGAGAATTAATAGTCGATTTTCTTTTTTTGTGAATTGAATGATTTTATCAACCCAGGGGAAGTTTACATTCTACAGTAAGAAACTTATTCATGATAAGTATGTTATAAGCTAAGGGTCCATTATTTTTGAATTCAGTATGTTTGAATGTAACAACTCTTGGGCCAACAAAATGATAAATGAATTGAGGCAGCAGGCCTCAGGCCTCATTTCTCTCTCAAGTATTCCTGACAGTGTGGAGATTGCTTTGAAACAGCATTTAAAAATTCATCTCTGGCAATAAAATTTACAGTATGCATTACTGAACTGTTGGCTGTGTTGGAGGAACTCATAAACTCATTATTTCTGAAATGCAGAAGAAACTATTAGGGATTCACTTAGTGTCTTTCTTATAGGCACTTAAACATGGCTTGTCTACTGTAAATGTAGTGCTTGAACCCAAGGCTGGGTTGTGACGGTGTTATGTATCCTGAATCTGAGGAAGTATATGTAGTATATGTGTGTGTATGTGTGTGTGTGTATATATACACACACACACACACACACACACACACACACACACACACACACACACACACACACATAGACAACACATACTTTCATGCTTTTCTGCCTTGCATTGCCTTGCTGTTGAAAGGTGCTGTACAAACAATCTTGCATTGCTTTGATACTGGTGACAAACTAGAGATTTGATTCTCCATGCAGACTCAAGTGAAAGTGAGGAACAAAGCAGGAAGCTGAAACATACAG